AGGGAGTAGGACCAGGAGCAGGCGGGAGACCAAGAACCTGCTGAAGGAGCGGAACGAAGTACGGTAGCGCCTCCAGAACCAGCAGAGACACCGCCAGCACCCTCAGCTCCAGGGTCTCCAGCTACAACTCCCGCAGCACCACCAGTAGCTCCAGCAGCTCCAGCACCTCCAGCTCTAACTCCCGCAGCAGCTCCAGTCCCAGTAGCTCCAGAAACTCCAGTACGAGCACCTCCAGGGCCAGCGGCCCCAGCAACTCCAGCACCAGCAGCACCTCCAGCAGCTCCAGCACTGGCAGCACCTCCAGCAGCTCCAGCACCAGCAGTACCTCCAGCAGCTCCAGCACCTCCAGTAGCTCCAGCTCCAGCAGTACCTCCAGCAGCTCCAGCACCAGCAGCACCTCCAGCAGCTCCAGCACCAGCAGCACCGCCAGCAGCTCCAGCACCAGCAGCACCTCCAGTAGTAGGCCTCCCAGCTCCAGCAGCACGGCTACAGCGCCGAGCGTACCACTCACGAAGCTGGCGTGGAGAGAGGGGCTCCCGTCGCAACGGGACACTCGGAGGACCTCCAGTCTCAGCACCCCCAGACTCAGCAACCCCAGGCTCAACACCCCCAGGCTCAGCACCCCCAGGCTCAGCACCCCCAGGCTCAGCACCCCCAGACTCAGCACCCCCAGGCTATGCACGCTCAGGCTCAGCACCCCCAGACCCAGCACCCGCAGGCTCAGCACCCCTAGCAGCACCAGAGTCAACAGCTACCTCGACAGGCTCGACTGCGTCTACCTGGGACACACCTGAGGGGGCAGGACCCTGAGGGGGAAGGGGGTCTACCTGGGGAGGACCTGGCGTGAGGAAGAGCGGCGGGGGGGGGAGGGGGGCAGTGCGGTAGGGGAAGAGACGGTAGTAGGGAACCGACTCGTCAAACGTGACGTCCTGAGAGGACAGAACACGGCGCGAGGTGGGGTGGTAAAACTGCCAGCCAGGCGCGTCAGGGGGGAAGCCAAGGAAGACGCAGGGAACGGCACGGGAGGAAAGCTTGTCCGCAGACAAGTCGCGGACGAAAGCTCGAGATCCCCAGACACGGAACGCAGACGCATCGCCAACCTTCCCCGTCCACCGCAGAGTGGGAGTGGTCTCCGGCATGGAGACCCGGGGCTGGAGGTTGATCTGATGGGCAGCGTACTGAACCGCGAACGGCCACAGAAAATGGGGAGCAACCGCATGGATCATGGACGTACGAGCGACATCCATGACCATGCCAATGCGGCGCTCAGCAATCCCATTTTGCTGTGGAGAGGCCGGAAGCGTGAACGTCTGGCGGATGCCCTCCGCCCGACAGTAGGCCTGCAGAAGGTCGGAGGAAAACTCTCCACCTCTGTCTGAGTGCAGACGCACAACAGGAAAGTCCGAGCCGAAACTCTCTCTGAGCTGGAGACGGGCAGCGCGGATCCAGTCGATCAACACCTCAGTGACCTCACCCTTGCGACGCAAGGGGAAGACTGTGGTGTAACGCGAGTAGTCGTCAACAACCAGCAGGAAGTAGCGCTCGTGACCCTGTCCACGGACGTGGGCTGGGCCCCACACGTCCATGTGGAGAGTCTGCAGCGGAGTCTCGGTCGGAGGAAACTCGGAGGAGTGAGGAGCGGCGCGCTGCCGCCCCTCGACGCAGGGAACGCAGGTAGGGGCAGGCCCCGGAGGAAGGGGAGGGAGGGATCGGGGGAGACCAGAGACAAGGACACGGGAGGCCATGCCTCGGGGACGAGGCAGGGAGGGGTGCCCAAGGCGGTGGTGCCAGAGGAGAGTCTGGTGGGACAGGAGGCGACACGAGCAGGGGGCAGACTCAGGACCAGACCGAGACGCTGCAGCAAACACCTGACCCGACGTAGCTACCTGACCAGACGCAGTAACCGGAGGAGACTCGGTAGTCAGTGTGTACAGGCTCGACCCCGGCTGACGGGTAAACGTGGCCAAGTGTCGGCCCGTCCGAGCACACGTGCAGTGGGTCACTCGCTGACTCGCAGGAGTGAACTGGTCAACCCCTCCATCCTGTAGGTCAGCACCACTCACCAGGTTCGTAGAGAACGAGGGGAGGTAAAGACCTGACAGGGAGCCAGACGGGGCCGCCGGACACGGTAGGACAGTGGAGTAGTGGGCAAGGACAGGACCCATAGAGGGGTCTGCCAGGGAGACTGCAACCGGCCGATTAAGCGGCGTGAGTGTGGTGCGGTCTCGAAAGAAGGAGCGGGAAGCACCCGAGTCAAGGGTGAAGGTGTGCAAGACCGCAGCAGGCGCAGCACCAGAGAGAGCAGACTCACCAGCACCTGGAGCAGTAGACTCACGAACACCTAGAGCAGCAGCCTCACCGGCACCTGGAGCAGGGGACGCACGAGCACCTAGAGCAGCAACCTCACCAGCACCTAGAGTAGTAGACTGGATACCGGGGTCAGGCGGCACACACAGGTGACAGGCACCCTCAGCACTAGTAGACAATGCATACATGGCAGTGAGAATAGCATCATAGTCAAGAGCAAAGATATCTACCCTCTGCCTAAGCAGCTCTAGCCAGGAGGGGAGCTCAGCGTCGTCGCCAAACTCTGTACGCCAAGCGTCGCTCAGACGGGCGAAGCAGCGGGACTCTGTGTGACCAGGTGTCCCGCAAGGCTGACCAGTCCGGACACCCGTGCGAATGACGTACGGGCAGCGAGCAGTACTCAGTGACCCTCTACTCTGAGCGTACCACTCGCGAAGCTGCTGGGGCGAAAGGGTCTCGCGCGGACGACGCTGCAGCTGCACCTGGCCACTACACGAAGCTCCCGAACTACTCACTCCAGGACGACCCCCACTACGGCCACTCTGACAACCCCAGCTAGCGTACCACTCACGAAGCTGCTGGGGCGTGAGGGACTCACGCGGACGTCGCTGGAGCTGCAGCTAGCCACCGCCAGGAGTAGCAGTAGCAGTAGTAGCCGCAGTAGCGGCAGTAGCAGCAGTAGCAGCAGTAGCAGTAGTAGCCGCAGTAGCAGCAGTAGCAGCACGGCCACCCCTACAACCCCAACTAGCGTACCACTCACGAAGCTGTTGGGGCGTGAGGGACTCACGCGGACGGCGCTGGAGCTGCATCTGGCCACGCCAGGAGCAGCAGTAGCAGTAGAAAGAGCAGTAGCAGCAGGAGCAGCAGTAACAGCAGTACGGGCAGGGCAGTGCTCACCAGTGGCGAGAAGGGCACGCGTACGACGGCGGCAACGGCGAGGCCGCTACCACTGCAGGGCGAGGGCTCCGCGGCAGCTGCAGGGGCGGCTGCTCCAGGGGCGGCTGCTCCAGGGGCCAGGGGCGGCTGCTGCAGGGGCGGCTGCTCCAGGGGCCAGGGGCGGCTGCTGCAGGGGCGGCTGCTCCAGGGGCAAGGGGCGGCTGCAGAAGTCCAGGGGCGGCTGCTGCAGGGGCGGCTGCTGCAGGGGCGAGGGGCGGCTGCTGCAGGGGCGGCTGCTGCAAGGGCGGCTGCTCCAGGGGGGGGGGGGGGGGGGGCAGGGGCGGCCGTCCGAAGGTCGGGCGCGGGTTAGGGCAGGGCGCCGCGGCGGGCAGGGGCGACGCCGCGCGGGTCCCGCAGGGGCGTCGCGACGAGCGGGGGCGACGCCCGGGTCCCGTTGGGGCGTCGCGACGCGCAGGAGCCGCGCCTCGCGGGTCCCGCAGGGGCGTCGCGACGAGGCGGGGGCGACGCGCGGGTCCCGCTGAGGCGTCGCGACGAGGCAGGGGCGACACCCGGGTGGCGACGGGGCGGGGCCGCGACTGGCGACGGGGCGGGGCCGCTACGGGCAACGGGGCGGGGCCGCGAAGGGGCCGCGAAGGGGCCGCTAAGGGGCCGCGAAGGGGCCGCGAAGGGGCCGCGAAGGGGCCGCTAAGGGGCCGCGAAGGGGCCGCGAAGGGGCCGCTAAGGGGCCGCGAAGGGGCCCCGAAGGGGCCGCTAAGGGGCCGCGAAGGGGGCCGCTAAGGGGCCTCGAAGGGGCCGCTAAGGGGCCGCGAAGGGGCCGCGAAGGGGCCGCAAAGGGGGGGCCGCGACGGGCCTCAGGAGCAGGGCAGGCCGCTAAGGGGCCGCGAAAGGGTAGGGCAGGTCAGAGCGCGAAGCGCGCTTCGGGCAGGTTAGGAAAAAAAAAAAATGGTGGGCCCTTAGGAAGAAACGGTCCCACTAGGGAACCAGCTCTATACCATGTGAGAATTACGAGGAATAATGGACTAGGAAATGAGTTGGGTACAAATATGTAACCCTAGGAAACTGTACCCCATACTGTCTACCCCACTACAGCCTAGAAAGACTATAGCATGAATGTTTGACACCTAGCATACGAAGTACACATGCATGTATACTATGTGTGTACGTAGATCGACACTGTGTGGCTTCATGCAACCAATGAGAGTGAATACAGAAGACCAGGGTCGGAGGAGTCAAAGAGGGGTGTCAGCCCAAAACAGGTCGTAGTATTTTCATGTGGGACTTCAGTTGGTCCCAGTGTTGGTAATCCCTTGGTCCCCATTCTGGTTTGTGGTAGGCAGACCAAAGTGGGCCAGCACTAATGCGATTCTCCCTTACAGCAGGTCAGATACCATAGAGAGAACTTGAAGTCTACATTGTTGATTCCAGTGCCAATTACCTCCATGTTGCATTCAGCTACCAGTGGCAAATGCAGGGGATACCGTAAGATTGAAAACCTAGAAAACCCCTGGAGGATGTTCAAGGAGGACGTTCTGTTCGGCAAAAAGGCAACTTCCATCTGCTGTAGGTAGAAGACCATCTGCTGTCAATTGAAGTTACAGGAAGAAACCAGATGTACGCGAGAGCAACGGCCCTGGGAAAGTTCACGGCCCTAACGATGGCTAGCATTGTTAGCGTCGCTTAGGAAACGTCACCTTCACGTCTGAATAATTATCCAGGTGACAAAAAAAGTGAACCAGAAATATATCTCAATTTAAGGAATGTACACATCCATTAACGTAAGATGCGGAACCACAAGTTTACAGGCCCCACTGGTAGCCGTTGTTAGCGACGGCGAGCAGGGCGAAGCCGAAGGCGTGGCCCAGAGCGCCCCAGGCAAGGGTGTCAGCAAGGGTGAAGCCAGCGGGGTCGTTGGTCTTGGTGAACAGCTCGCTCTCGGCAGCGCCGGAGCTACCAGCAGCGGCGTGGCTCACGCCATTCTGCACGGGGAGACCCGCCCTCTTCAGGGAGTTCTTGTGGTAGTCGTTGAAGCCAAAGCGGCCAGCGGCCAGAAGCAGGGCTGTGGCACCGCAGATAACGGGAGCGGGGTCAATCGCGCAGGTGGTGCGGGCCTTAGACACAGCGAAGCTGGTCTTCGTCTTCAGGCTCACGGCCTTCTGGGGAAGGGCCTTGAGGCCGGAGAACTGAGACACGGAGAGGGAGGCCTGGACGGCAGCCATGGCTTCAGGTGTGTGGATGCAGCGGTTCAAGAAGAAGCTGCAAAGTTTGGTGAATGGATGTGTGCGTTCAGCTTGCTAGTGGGGCTGATGAGTTCACTTTGTTCAAAGAGGGAGGAGAGAGGTGCGGATGCTGACCCTGCGACAGCGTGGCAGGGATGGCGAACGATTCAGTGTGTGCGATGATTTCCAGGCTTGTGGGTGGGTCAGCGGGAGATTTCTGGTTATCCGTTTTCCGCCAATGCTGATTACGGGGTACGGAATCGTGCTCAGGATGGAGCAATGGGGGGTCACCAGCTGGATTGACCAAATCCGCTGGTTTGAGCCCCGAAACTGATACAAACCTGTCGAATTGTCGCTCTTCAGTACACCTAGTCGCATCATTTGCAAATAGCGCATAGATACATGAACAAACAGGTCTTGTGAGATTTTTGCACTGTGTTATTAAGTGTTTCTTCTTCATTCTGCTAGTAGGGTTTCGTGTACGGTTGTTTTGCATTTTATAGACGTGTACGAATGGCGTAAAGTTCTTGTAGCTAGTGCTATGCAGAGCCCTGGGCTGTGAGTGGCTACATCCATTCCAGAATTATACACTTCACTGCTTACAATATAACAATTAGCCAACCTGAATCCTTGGCACAATTTTCAGTACTTGCATCCAGATTGATCTTACGATTTAGCTTCTGGCGCATACGTCTCTGCATGCAGAAATCATTGCTTGCCGATGGTAACTCGGAAGGACTTCACAATCTGCAGTATCGGGCACAACGAGGCATTCAACACGTGAACAGGCAGCAGGAAATACAGTGACACCCTGATGCCCATAGTCAGACAAAAACGTCCTTCTGGAGAGCAGAAAGGGTCAGGCTCACCTTGTCTACTGTTGGCTTGAATGTAGCGGCCTCATCCTCAGGATACTGTACGCACAATATGAAGATCATTTATGATATTAATGATGATGTCCTCTTCAGCAACAATGTTTTCAACAACTTCCACATCAAGCGCGAAAGTGAAGATGATGTGGTGTGACACGCCCTGCCCCCGGGAGGCAAAGGTTAGGTTCCCAGCTGTTTATGTTCTGGGCATTCGCGAAAGGCATAGAGAAAGAGTCCTAACCTATCCTGTAAAGGTGAAGAGGTGTACCACACGTTCTGGCCCCGAGTGGCACAGAACAGGCAGGCACAGAACAGGCAGGCATGGCGAGAAGTTCCCACCTGTCCGGTGAAGGTGAAGAGGTTGTTGTACCACACGTTCTGCCCCGTGGCCACAGCGGAGTAGAGGTGAATGGCCGGCTCGCTGGGCTTCTGCAGCGTGTACTCCACCAGGTAGGCGTCTGTGGGGAGGGGGAAGACAAGGAGATGTCTTTTGAGGCGCCTCAACAGGCTTTTGCAGCGTGTACTCCACCAGGTATGCGTCTGTGAGGAGGGGTAAGGCGAAGGGTGTATGCAGCACAATAAATCATAAAGACCTTCTGAGGCGCCTCAATAGGCTTCTGCAGTGTGCACTCCACCAGGTAGGCGTCTGTGGGGAGGGGTAAGGGGAGGGGATGGAGGCAGCACAGTGGGGGATGGATGGAGTCGCCTCAAGAGGATTCTGGAGCGTGTACTCCAACAGGTATGTGTCTGTGAGGAGGAGGAAGGCGTGACGATGATGGGTATGGCAAGCCATCCCTGTTCTGCCTTGCTCAGCACGCAGGGCCACCAGAATACACAGCACTTTCACTTAGCTAAGGCTTTTTTGGTCTATATGTGCATTCAACTACTGCACAGTTGGCAGTTGTCAGCTGGCAACCAGATTTGTAGCAACAAAATAGAACGGATCCCACGCACGAGGATACCCAGATATTGAAACAGACGAAAAACACAGGCGTGACCTCCTTGCGGGTGCCACTCACCGTTGTCGGACTTGGCTCCCAGCAGCACTGCCTTCTGCCCGGGACTGGGCTGCCAGCTGCGGTCCAAACCGTTCACCTGCTCGCACCAAGCAGCAAGAGGCAGCGGGAGGAGAAGTAAGTGAGATGATGAGTGGAGATGCCTGGTGATGCATGGTGATGCGTGATGATACACGCTACGCTAATCACCACTCGCCCACCAATTCCCCTCGATCCCCTGACAATGACCCCCGCGGACCCTCCGAGCCACCCGACGACTGCACAGGACCACAGAGGTTGGCTTGCCCAGCACAGCAGTGCAGCAGTGCAGCAATGCAGCGACACACAGTCCAATGCCGCATCACAGCAATGAGCAAGCCAGAGATCCACCAGTGTTTCAGCAAACGCGTTCACTGTGCCAAACGATCCCAGCGACGTGAACTCGGCTGACAGCACGTGACTTGCCATCACAACAGAGCAGCATAGCAGCAATGCAGCAACACACACTCGCATCGCAGCACTACACAAGGCAGAGATTCACCAGCGTCTCAGCAAAGGCGTCCACGGTGCCAAACGACCCCAGCGACGTGAAATCGGCTGCCAGAGGCGTGATGAGGATGGTCACTGCAAGTCAGGCACAGGAATGGGGCACAGTGGCAGACAAGGGACATGTGCGGAGGCGAGAGTGAGTGCTAGGATAGGACCAGAGGGAGTGAATAACAGGTTTGAAACCGCAATGCATGGTGTGCTGCTTTGAGCGTCTTGCCTCACTCGCATCCTTACCAGTGAACCCTCCCTTTTCAATGAACCCCCCCTCCCCAGTGCACCTTTCCTTCCCTGTGAACCCTGCCTGCCTTCCCCGTGAGCCCACCGTTAGCGTCGGTGCGATCAGGCGGGTGGAAGGCGATCACCTTGCGCACTCCCGCCATGCTTTCGCTGCGCACCCACCCTTGGCTTCTGAGGCGACTCAGATTTGATCCCTCATTCTTCGTGTACCCTCCCTTCCCTGTAGATCCTCCCTTCCCAGTGAACCCACCAACCCACCGTTAGCGTCGGTGCGATCGGGCGGGTGGAAGGCGATCACCTTGCGCACTCCCGCCGTGCCCTCGCTGCGCACCCATTCTTGAAGCACGACCACGGGCACCACGGGTTACGCGGGAGAGAACAGGGTAAAGGACGGTGAAATGTGTGTGTGTGAGTGTGTGTGTGTGTGTGTGTGTGTATGCGTGTGTGTGTGTGGGTGTATGTGAGTGTGTGTGAGTGAGTGTGAATGCGTGTGTGAGTGTACGTAATTAAAGGACCGTTCGAGAAGGAGAGACCTGGGGAGAGAGGAAGGGAGACATAGAGTGGGAGGAAGGTGGGGTGAAAGGGGTCAGAAAGAATGAAGCGGCTTCTAATGGTTATGCCAACAATGGGCTCAAATGATACTGGTAAACGACGGCATTACCTGCAGGGACCTGGAAGGTGTATTTCTCCTTGGGATTGTCGAACGTCACAAAATCTGAAGCCTCTGCAATGGGAGCACGGATAAGACCAGGGAGGAGGAATACAGACGAAGGGATGGGAGCGAGACGGTTTGGACACTGACGCTGTTATAAGGAATATTTCACTTGCGGAGCTATCTTTAGGACCGCAACAGTTATAAGAGTTCCACGAATTCTGGTACCATTCAATGTGAGCACATATCAGAGCGTTTCCAGGATGCGGTTCCTTAACGGACCTTGCACTGCGCTTGCTGCTCCCGCGAGAGTCAGCGTCAGCGGAGCAGCCAGCGATCCAGCCAACAACTCCCTTCGGTTGAGGACGCCTGGTCTGTGAGTGAAAACGGTTCAGGCAAGCCACGGAAGAGAGACAATGCGCGTTGAAAGCAGTCAGCGATCCAGCCAGCAGATTCCTTCGATTCAAGACCCCTGGGCTGAGGGTGAAAATGGTTCAGGCAAGCCACGGAACAGATACAACGTGAGGTTTAGCCACTACGATTTGGCACGGTGCTGGAAGCACACATCTCAGTTGTTAGAACGAGAATTGACTTTACCGTGCATCGGAATTCGGCGAGGCCGACTCGGCTCTAAGGCGCACTGGTCCGACGCATCGCACCGATGGCGACACCGGCTTGGCTATTCTGGGGATGACGCGAGCGTGAAGCGCGGAGAGTGTGGACAACGACGCGAGCTGAGACAGCGAGGTGGCCATGGTTCGCCGTTTATTTGACGCGCTATATGATCAGCAGCTAGGGATTGTTGAACAAGTCGGCTGTTTTGTTCAAGCTGCTACGTATGTCTGAGGAAAAGACGAGTGCTGCCTGCGAGTCTGCGACTGACAGTCTCAGAGCCGAACAATTCAGTGATCACAGAGGACGCATCACCTCCCTCTCATTTGCACGATCGAACATGCAATATCTATCCGCCACCGCACTGAATTCACGCTAATTGCATCCAAACCTTTCACGACCTTATGTAACCTCGACAATAAAAGATCCTGCGGAGGGTCGATAGTGCAAAACCGAAATAGGTGACGCGTCCTGAAGGCTGGGGCTCCACGACCACCATCAGTCCAATTGGCTGAATGTTCCCGACATACCCGATTGTGGTACATGCACCATTCTTGGTACGTGCATCAGCCTGGAATAGAAGGATTAGTGTGAGTATTTTTTTACTGGACCGCTAGTGTATTCGATTATTTGGGTACACGATGAGAAGTGCAATACTGTAACGAGCTAGCAAATCACTGGTGTGCCTCGTGTAACGTTCGCTCCGATTGGTTGTGGCAGTTGATACAGATGCTCTTATGAGGAGCAAGTGTGTCCCGTTGTTTCTTCCACAGCTTCAGCGGAAACTGCCCGTCAAGCGCAACGTCATAGTGAAGGCAAAACCAGATTCCTTTTTCCGAATATTTTGCATATCAAATGAACAAAGAAATTGGTTAACAACAACATGTACAGAGCGTAGGCCGCACAGAGCGGGCAGGACAGTCGGGGACAAGGTTCGTCTCCGAAACTGCTAGCTGTCTGCCAGAACATAGGCAAGGGGCGCTAGCCAACCGAATTCGTCCAGGTGTGGCAGATGGGGGGTGAAATGGCGGAGCGCGGAAGGACCCGCAACAGCTATCCCCGCCGAGCCCGACAACCTGCGCCTTTCGGACAGGCAGACGGTGGTCTCCGTTGCGCTTGCGCCTTCACATTCAGCACCTGCGCGAGCTCACAAAAAAAAATATCAGCGAAACTCCCGAGGCGGGCAGATTCAGAGGTTCGGTTCGGTTGGGTGATTGACGCGATTTGGAGTGCCGTGATGTCTGTTGGAGCGCACGTGAAGCATGACAACCGCATCGTTTTCAACCCACTGTGCTCTCTCTGGAAATTTCTGCACTGAAAGTTGAGGGGGTGTTACATTGCGCGCTGGTCCATTTACAGGAAATGGACCAGCTTAGACAAGGGAGCACCAGTTTACAGGGATCACTTGCGAAAGTGGTCCCTGCCTGGTACCCGCGTGGTCCCGGGCACCATTTGCAGCCGACCCCAACAGCACAGTGTTTTACAGTTTCGCAAAAGCAAGGTGGACGAAAACAAAGTCGCACCTAGTCACACGCGAACTACATTTCGCGACGGCCCGAATAGCGAAATTTTCAGCTTGTGCTAGCGAAAAGGGGCGACGTGGAGTTTTCGTGAGTGTCTGGGCCGCGAATTGGGGTCGACTGTTGGAAGTGGTCCCCCAAATCCTGCACGTGCACCGACCACTGTACATGCTGGTCCGTGGGGGGAGCTACCTGGGTCACTACCTGGGCCGTTTGCTGGTCCAAACAGCTGGTCCACGCTGGTCCGCGCTGGTCCGCGCGAATCCCCCTGGGCCGCAGCGGCCCAGCGCGGCCCAGAGTAGTTCTGCCGCACATGTAACACCCCCTGAACGTCACAGGCTTTGTTTCTTGGGCGCCAAGGCGAAACGAAATGGCCGAATTGGCACGGCGCACCGACCGGCGGGCACCCCGAAGGAGCAGAAACGGCCCAAGAAGACCTGATGCACATCGCGCTCCAGTGTACAGTGGACCATCATTCACAAGAGTCTGCCCGTGATGGGTTCAACGAATCAAACGCCTCGGCTCCTGCGTTGGCGTTGACCACGCGAAACCGACGCTTGTGGCGGGTCCTTCCTTCCGCTGCCCGGGCCTCACTCATGCTCCAGCCCGAGTCCAGAGGAAACACTGTGCGCCTCGCTCCGCGTCGCATGGAAAATGGTGAAAGGTGTCGCGTGCACGGGCTGAACGAACCGACGAAGGAATTTGCGATTGAACGAACAATTGCGTACACCCGTGCCTCGCGCATCCATGTGCCTTCTGTTGCTCCCTCCCTTCTCCCCCTTGCCCAGAATTCATCCCAGTTCCTCCCATCCCACCACCCATCTGACTGGATTCCAGCTCTTCGTCACACAAGTATGTAACGAGCTCCTCAACTCGCCTGTGTTGCATCCACAGCTTCCATTCATCCTGCGAATGTTCCACCAAGAAAGGCTGGAAAACCTTCCAACGACGAGCACGAACGATATACTATGTGACTGTCCGACCTTCTTGAGAAGCCCGCACGCGCGCAGCAAAACCGGAACCTAACATCTACTGTCACTGACGTTTTCGCACGGCGAGTCTACAAGACCTCGACCTCTCCTCTCAGATCTAGACTGCTCAGAACATGGATCACCAAGGGACCGTAGCAACCATGGCGACTTCCCCAGCAAGCAGGCCGCAAAGCATTCCTCTCAAGAGAAACACCACCGACTCAAACGCCCAAGCGAGACCACAGACCCTCAAAAAGACCAAACGAGCACGGAGAGACGACCGCCGAAGCACAGCTGCCTTCGCACCGAGCCTCGCCAGCCCTCCCTACCGACAAGCAAGCACGACTCTCGCTTTTCCTCCGCACCTCTCGACTCCTCTCCCTCCCTTCCAGCCCTCTCTTCCTCCTCCGCTCTGGACGGCCGCTCACCCGCCCGCCTATTCGTGGGCCTCGATGTCCCCCGTTCACCATAATCACATGCACTTCAATCACTACCTCCAGGGGTTCCAACTTCCGGCGTTTCAGGGCGGCTCCTGGACGGTTCCGTCGGCGGTTCCTGCGCTGTCGCCCCTGCCGCCGCGCCACGAGGGCGCTGACTCAGCATCAGCCGACTCCGTCGCGAAGGCGGAAATGGCACGTGTCGATTCGTCGACGCACATTAACAGCCTCGTAGCGCAGTACTCGTTCGCGCAAGCTGGTGCAGCCGCCGCCGCCGCTTGCGCCAGTCACCCCGTTTCTCCCTCCCAGCTCGTCTCGCCGCGTACGGGCTGGCCGCACTTTGCGGCGTGTGCCCCGTTCGTGGGGCCTGTGGGACCCGTGTCATATGCACCTGGTTTTGTCACGATTCGATCCCCAAAACCGGCTGAAGGAAGCGCCTCGGCGGGCGGAAGCCCTTCGCCGTCGAGTCATTTGCCGTCTTTGCTCGAGTCGCCGTTGCAAAGCGAGGTTCTGCCGGCCGAGTCCGACGGCGAGAGCTTCTGCAAGCTCGAGTTGCGGACGGAGCAAGTGGATGGGGAGGCAGAGACTGAACCTGACGAATCCCGAAAGCTTCTTTTCCCCTCAGAGCATGCAGCAGTGGACGGCGGGGCGGAAGGGGCGGAGAAGGCGGAGCAGGATTTGCGCGTGACTAAGGGGACTCGGCGCGCCATGCAGCTGTGGCTGGAGGGCGGAGCGGAGGGGGACGTTCAGGGCATGGGCCCGTTTGACTGGCTGGATGAGCCCTCAGGCGCGGAAGATGCAACGGGGCTTCCGCACTGGGTGCTGGCGGAGCTGGGGGAAGGGGGGGCGGGGAAGAAATCGGGGGAGGCGGTGGAGGAGGAGGTTATCCGTGTGCTGTTCCGTGCTGATTCTATGGAGAGTGCCACAGGCGAGTACGTCAACAGCGCCACAACAACTCTAAAGAACGAGCAGCATGTTACGACTCCTCTGCATGAGATCCCTTTACAAGCACACGAGGCTAAGGAAGAGCAGTATGAGGATGAATCTACCCCCACGGGTACCAACAAGGCTGTAACTGATACGCCTGCAGGAGAGGAGCAGGGATCAAATCCTGTCTCCGACGCAGGCAGTGCAGATTTTGGGATTACGAGCATTGGAGATTTGGTGTCGACTGGGCTTGTTGACAAGCCAAGTGCGCAGGTTCTAGAGGACAGCAGCACTGATGATATTTGGCACGATGTGAGTGCGTTGTCTGATTTTTTGGCTGCTTCCAGCAGCCCCATTGTGGATAGTGAGCTCTGCCTGGAGCTTCAGGATGTTCCGGTCTGGCAGTTTTGAGGAAGTTGGCACTTCCTCGAAGCTTGTTTGTTCTATACTTGGCACTCATTACTGGAGGGCTTGCTGTAATGCTTGTTGTGGAGTCATGTGTGCCTGTCATACGAGGTGTATATACTATTTTGTCTGTGACACTTCCTTCTATGGTCTGGCATCCGCCAGGAAAATCAAGTGGCGAAGAGTGAATCAGAGTAGGATAGACCTCTGAAAGAAAATAAGGGGTTGGCAGGCACTAGGCATCTGTCTCATGAAGAGTACAAAAATTTTCAAGCTTGAGACGCCCTAATGCGTGAAGGGAGCTGACGAACTTGCAAATATAAGTGTGCCGTTGCTGGGATTCGAGCCCAGGTCTCCACGGACACAACGTAAGATTCTAACCGCTAAACTACACCGACGCGTCGATGATGAAAATAGGAATAATTTAATACTTTCCTGAATTATGTCGTTGTGGTGACGCTTCTTGCTTGTACCCTCCACCCGATCTAGTCCATCACCACCAGACAATGCTGGTGCTGCTGTTATCTGATAAACCCAGTTTCCCTTAACTGCTGGTAGCAACTGAATCATAGTTGCTCTGGTACCAGCTCTTCCTTCGGATAAGCCATGGGTATCACTGGCCTGCTTCCGTTGCTAAAGTCGGTTACGAGACGTACGCACATACGAGAATATGCTGGACGCAGGGTAGCCATTGACACGTATTCCTGGCTTCACCGCGCTGCATATTCTTGCAGTCAGGAGCTTTGTCAAGGCACGCCGTGTACGAGGTAGGCAATGCTAGATTGATTTTGTGAAAATCTCGATTTTCTGACAGTTATTCTCGTGCAGGTCCGCAGCGCATCAATGTTGATAGCCTGATCCTAGATGTTGAGAACCCCGAGGGTATACGAAGGAGATCTCGTTTTCTATAAAATGCCGAAGTCGCTGGTTTCGTATAATAGGCAGCATTGTCTCGAATCGTCCCTTTTAGATAACGATCTTATCCTTACTGGCACCTTGCTTATAAGATACAAGTTGCTTACTTTATCAACAGGGATTAGGGAGTGACAAGCATAGACACTTGGGTCAGGCGGGCAGGGTAGCTCCTGGGGTTGAGTTATCAGGGTTTGAGCTTTCAGGACGCGAAGTGGATTTCGTAAATGGGAGGGTCTAGTGACAGCGGAGCCGTTGGTTGAGGGTCCAGTCACACTGGAAGCAATTCAGCCGCCCTCCCTGGCTTTGTATTTCCACGATTTCATCCTTAGACGCTTTCATTACACAGTGCATTCTTCGCGACTCCCTCCGCTGTATCTCCTTCAGGCACATTCAATACTGCATGAGCAAGGTCGATCTCCTGAGGAAGAATGGCGTCATTCCCGTGCTCGTCTTCGATGGCGGAAAGCTTCCCTCGAAATCCCAACAGGAATCTAAACGAGAGAAGTATGCTCTCCCCCTCCCTGTCTGACTTACATCGAGCCAGTTACTGTTCATTCCAGCACTTGCATTTTAGTTTCTGCGTACATTTTAAAAAATGCTACATCCAATAAGGTGATCGGTTTATCTCCTCTGTTGTCACAAACAGCAATTCGCAGTCTCTGTGGATTGGATTCTGTGTGTATCGCAAGAATTTTGCTCGTTTGTGTGTGTGTATTGTCTGTATCTCGCAGATCGAGGAGGGAGAACCTTGAACGCGCCGAGCAGCTCCTGCTGAAGGGCAAACTCAGTGAAGCGAGGGAATGCTTCCAGAAGGCTGTCGACATCACACCTGCCATTGCTCACCAGCTAATCAAGGTTTGATTTGACCATCACCAGCTCATTAAGTTGTGGTTGATTACATTTGTCCTTTACAATCTTCTGATATTTTGGAATATGTCACTTCCCTCCTCTGTTTTGTTCCCTTTCTTCTGCAGGTGCTGAGGCAGGAGCACGTTGAGTACGTGGTCGCACCCTACGAAGCTGATGCACAGATGGCGTATATGTGCGCCACCGGCCTCGTGCACGCAGTCATCACAGAGGACTCCGACCTCATCCCCTACTCCTGCCCGCGCGTCCTCTTCAAAATGGACAACGGGGGAAACGGCGACGAGATCATATACGCCAACGTATGCCAGTCCCAAGAGCTCGCTCTCGCGGATTTCACCCCACAGATGGTCCTCGAGATGTGCATCCTCAGCGGCTGCGACTATCTCGACAGCCTGCCGAAAATCGGCCTGAAAACAGCCCACGACTGGATCAGAAGGCACCGGAACTATCGCTCTGCGCTGGCTGCAATGAAGCTGAATGGGAGGGTGGTGCCGGTGGAGTATGAGGCGGCGTTTGAGCAGGCGCTGCTGACGTTCCTGCACCACCGCGTGTACCATCTGGCTGATGAGCTCATGACTCATGTCAACCCGCTGCCGGCCTCGCTTGGACCGGACGTGGATCTGTCGTTTCTTGGGCCATATCCTCCTCAACGCCCTCCCTGCATGCCCTTTCGCCCTTTCTTACCTTGTTTTTCCTCTCCAGCTCGAAGATACATCTTTTTCCGTTTTTTTTCCTTTTCAGCTTGACACGATGCTCGTTCTTCATGTGATAGATTCTCCTTGACTGCCTACTTTCACTCTCTCCTGTGCTTCCTTTTCTTCCCCTCTTCTCCCTATTTCTTTCACTTCTCGTTCCTCCCTTCATCCACTGCCTTCCACTTTTCGTTCTTTCCGCTTCAACAACCTTCACTGAGCTTGCTCCAAGCCTCGTCCGTGCGATTGCGCTCGGCTATGTGGATCCCATTACATACGAACCATTTGAGGTAAGAACCACTTTGGAGAACCGTTTGGAGTACGACTTGATTTACGTAGGTGAAACCTGGATTATTGCCTCAACAGAAATTATATTCGCTTTGCAACCACCCGCCCGCCACCATGCTGGTTTGTCCCCCCCCCCCCTTTTTTTTTGTTTTTTTTGCAGGCGGAACCCATACCTAGACCACTGCCCCCAGCTCGATCACCTCGACTGAAGCAACGCACCCAGGCAGGAGCAGCAGCATTTGCAGCAGTAGCAGGAGCGGCTGCAGCAAGGGGGGGACAAGGCACCCCTACCAATGGCAGGCCTGGCAGTGGTGGGCCGGGGAGATCGCCACTGCAGCTGCCAGTGCAGAAGAACAAGCTGTCGAAATACTTTCGTGAGTGCTTTGGTCTTTGGTCTGATGAGTGCCTTGGCGCATGCTCTCAGCCCGCCCCGCTTTATGTGCACTACACTGTTTCCTTTCCTTACCAATGTCTCTCACTCTTCTCCTCCCGTTCGGTCACTATTCCCGTGTGACCGTGTCAACAACCCTTCTCCTTCAGTCCCCACTGCTCCGGCTGCTAAGAAGCAGTTCCAGCCATCGCAAAGGTCGCCTGTAACGCCCCCGGTCAAGTCAGCCTTCGAGCCATCCCGTCCCGAAGCTGCTGCCGAGCCTGGCCCTGCTGGCTCTGCAAATCAGCCACGTGGCAACAGCAGCGGAAGGGGCGGGCGGTCTGTGAGGACGTCAGCAGTTGCTGAAGGGTCAGCAGGGCCCACGGCAGGTGAAGGCCTGGCGGTAGAAGGAGAGGGCTGTGGTGAGCCGATGGTGGGGGAAGACTTGGTGCAGTTTATGGCAGGGACGGTTCTTGAGGAGCAGCAGCAGCAGCAGCAGCAGCAGCCGGTTGCAGCTGGGCCAAGAGCAGCTGTTGCGCGTGTGTTCCAACGATTCACTCCGCCCCGCTCCATTGCCGAAGCTGGGACCACTCCCGAGCCACCATTTCAGCGTCGGCAACTGTACAGGCGAGCAGCACTACCACGTGTCTCTGGAGATAGGCAGGAGAGTACGCCAACTGAGTGGGACCAGTTTGTATTTCGGGGTAATGAAGGAGCCCAAGGAGAGGAGAGAGCAGCGGATGGAGGCGAGCGATTGGAGAGTGTGCTGGGAAGGAACCGGGATTTGGATGGGGAGCGGGCTGTAAGCGCAGATCTGGATGCGGATTTGGATGAGCTGCTGCTGCCGCCTGCCTTTGACCTCGTGAGTGACGTGCCGGGAAGCCACGAGATAAGGCAAGCAGGACGAAGTGCAGGAGGGTGGAGGGCGGGCGGATGGATGGGCATGCGAGGGGCAGCAGGCGGAGCAAGGGGAGGAGGAGGGAGAGGAAGAGGAAGAGGCCGGGTCATTGGAGTGGGAGTGGGCGGGGCCGGCAGCAGCAGGCAGCAGGCAGAGACGGTGTTTGACAGCCCGAAGGGGATGCTGGGGAGCGTGCGAGAGGTGCAAGGGAGGGGAGTTCGGGGAAGAATGGGGGCGGCGCATGTGGTGGTGCGGCAGGAGATGTCCTGCTCTACTTGCGTGGTGAGTCCCTCCTTTTCTCTCTTCTCTCCTGTTTCGACAATCTGTCGCCCATTGCACTTCTGTAGCAGCATGTGCTGTGTTAGTTTGCACCAATGTAACCGTCAGTTGTTTGTCCTTGACTCGTGGCCCCGCCCAGCCTCGTTCTGGGAATGTATCCCTCCTCTCATCACATGCTGTGCTGGTTTAGTCGCTGCAAGGTGAAGTCCCACCCACTACTAGGTTGGTTTCAGCTTCCTTTCAGCAGAGCACAGACGAGCAGTTGCGAGGCACTGGCCTCTTTCCCTCCCTATTGCCCCTGCAGACTTCCGTCAAGCCCTTCAGGTCGCTAGGGTAAGTTCCAGCCCGTTTCAGTCTGCTCAGCCACTCAGGCTACCAGTATCAGTTTCGATGCAGCTACAGGGCTTCCTGTGTGCCACAGCTTGCGTCCTTGACTTGCGTTGTCTTTTTTTATTATTATTATCACTAGCGATGTCCCATGACCTTTGTGCTATATTCCACCGTCCATCTTACCAAGATTCGTTGTGTGTGCTGTGTGCCTTGTCGTGCACATGAAATCTCCGCCATTTCGCCTGCTTTTTTCCACGAAACGCCGTGGTGTAATCGTGGGTCTACGCTACTCCATGGTGGATCTACAACTCTGCTTCATTGGTGGCTGTCACTATGCTTGGGCGTGCGATGGACGACCACAGGGCTCCGAGTTTCTGCTAACTCCACCTGCCAAGCGCCCCTGCTTTGACGACGGTATGTATGTAAATCCGATTGTTTCCATGGCATCAATCTTATCAATGTCCACTGCACGGCATCTGAGTAGAGGCCGTTTTATGCGAGAGTTTCTTGTCCAAACTCTCAGACACTGTTTCTCTGCATGGCAGGTGCATCTGCAGTTGACGCCAGTTTCTTCTCGGTCACAGCAACACACACCATCCACACAACACACACTCTCTCACACGTGCAAGCGAACAGCATGCACCAGGTCGACATTGATCCATTTGCCGACCCATGGCCCGTGGGTCACAGCAGTGACCCCCTCCTCCCCCGCGTCCTTCCATCCATCAGCCCCTTCGGCTCTGCCAGACCTTTTTCTGTGAGAGAAATGCAAGGAGAGGCGGAGGCGGAGGCGAAGGAGGAGGAGGCGGGGCAGCAGCAGGAACAGGAGAGGGAGGAGGAGAGTCCGTTTTTCAGGCCTGCCAGAAGCTCTTTCCCTTTTGCGCCTTCTCCTCCGCTGCCTCCCTCTCACTGCAGTGCCTCTGCTTCTCTACATCGCCGCCCACCTCCTTCTCCTCTTCCTCGTCTTCATCCTCGTCGTGCAACCACGGGTTTATTCACTCCCACAACTCTAGCTTCCCCAGCCTTAGCTGCTGCGGCAAATCCGTTTGCTTCACACGTTCACCGCAGCCGCATGTCTGGTGCAACTGCTGATGGTGGTGTTAGCACCACTGCCACCCCCGCTGCCGCCGTCCCTGCGGTCACTGCTCCTGGTGGTTCTGCAGAAGTGGAAAATGGGTCGTTCTGGCATGATCGGGGCGCCGGTGCGATGGATGGAGTAGATGCACTAGGTGCTGATTATGCAGTAGACCAGGAAGAAAGGAGCTATGAGAGGGAATGTGGAGACGACGGGTCTGATGGGTCCAATGGGGCAGGTGGTGGGTCAGACAGGGCCGCTCCACATGGAAGGGCTGGTTCTGCAGGGCAGGCAGAGGGTATGGAGCAGGATGCGGGGCTTGGAAGGGCAGGATTCATTGCACCTGGACAGCAGGGTCTTGTGTATAGGATGCCGGTAGCTGGTGTGCCTTCTGGTAGGGGTTTGAGTGCTTGTGCTGCAGGGGCGGGAAGAGCAGCGGGAGGTGGCAGAGGGAGGGGGGTGGGTGGCGTTACCGGCACAGTGCGAGGGGATCGCAAGAGGAGTTTGGCTCGGGGGAGCGCGTTCTTTAGAGGGAATGCCGCCGAGGCTTGTGAAGATCGTGATGCTGAGGATGCGAGGAATGCTGAGGGATCTGAGGATGATGGTGGAGGCGATGGGGATGGAGAAGGGGAGCCTTGTGGTGGTGGTGTAGGTAGAAACGCGTCGGGTGATGTAGGGGATGGGGTTGCGGAGGATATGCACATGAGGAGCAGGAGTAGCAGCATGAGTGGACAGTCTTTCGCTACTGATGTTTCGCATGTGTTACGGTACTCAGCGGTGGGGAAGGATGCGATGGGCAAGGTGGCTGCGAAACTGGCCAGCTTCAGGCACACTCCAGCGGAGAACAAGCCGAGAGGGAGGATGGGGCGCCGATTAGGAGGCTCGAAAAGACAACGGTATGTGTGTATGCTTGTCGCATCATGACCTTGGCTTGAGATTGTTTTTAGTGACCTGTGCTGATGTGTTTTTGTTTGATGCAGATCCCTTCCAGGGCAGCAGGCTTGTTCGTTTCAATTCCGGCTCAAAGATGCAAAGATGGATCATTTTGTCAGGCGCAATTCCTCTCAGCCTACCAGCCTAGGTGGTTCTTTCTCGGCTAAAGAACATTCACGAGCAATTTTGGAGTTTGATCTCTAGCATCACACACCGTCAGCAATTTTGGAGTTATTCTCATATTCTCATGGTACTGCATCACATTGAAGTCGCAGCTCTACCTTTTTAGCTTATTTTGCCTGCAGCGATGTTGAATTCAAGCCAGTAACGCGGACATTTTCTCTTTCGCAGTCAACCGGTCTGGTTTGCCTAGTTCCCTCGATTTCATCACGAGATAAGGGAATGGAGACTATCACGCTACCGACACACCGTGATTTTGAACTCCTCTTGCTCGTATAGCTCGCCTCAAATTACCGTCGATACCGGAAGCGTCGCAGTGCTCCATTTGCTCCGCCCCCCCAAACGGCCTGACGATTGTCTTAGCACCATTCCCGAACAGCCCGTCTTATGAAGCCCCTTAATTCAAAAGCCACAACTATTGTCTCTCCGTGTGATGGCTCCTCGCAGCAGCACTGTTCCCACCCAGTCCATCTCGCGGCGCTCGCCTCGCCGATGGCTGCTCGCCGCCCTCTTGCTTCTCCTGCTCCCCTCCTCGCTCCTCATCCTCTCCCACCACCTCCACCTCCTGCATTCCCCCACCGCGTCTCACGCTCGCAGCTCAAGCGAACTCGCCTCTCCCCTCCCCCTCCCCCCTGCCGAAACGCCCCATAGTCTGTACCTCCCACCTTCCGCTCCAAACGTCGGAATATCAGCCTTAGATTCCGCTTCAGATGGGTTTTCCGAGCATCCCTCCTCTATCATTCGGCTCATAAAGTCGGAGCTAGGGAAAGCAGATCTGGTTCAGCAGCAGCAGAAGGATGGGGAGGGGGAGTAGGAGCAGGAGGAGGAGCAAGAGGAGCAAGAGGAGCAGGAGCAGCAAGAGGAGCAGGAAGAGCAGAAGCAGCAAGAGGAGCAGGAAGAGCAGAAGCAGCAAGAGGAGCAGCAGCGGCAGCCTAACGGCCAGCACATACCTGATCCAACAGCCTATTCTGATCATGGCGATTCCGATACTCCTCTCATTTCCACCGACATTCCCTCCCCCGATATCCGCACTCCTGTTTTCTCTTCCTTTTCCTCCTCCTCCTCTTCTCCCATCGAGCCCTCAAAGCTGACGTGGCACCCACACCCGGACCGGTACCTGCTGGCAGTGTGCGTGCGCGGGCAGGTGAACCACCGCATTCAACCGCATTGTCTGCCAATACCTCCACCACCTCATTTGTTTCGCTCCGCTCACCCTCGACTGTACTCTGCCTTTCCACACCACTCCACTCCTCTCCTCTTCCCCTTGGTCACCGCATCAGCTGCCTCTTCCACATCGCAGCCCTGCTCAACCGCAACCCCTTGTGCTCCCTTTTTCCCTCTCATCTTCTCCCCTCCCCTCCTCCCCCCCCTCCCCATCAGGTGAACAACCGCATTGGCTGTCTCTACCGCCACCTCATCCTCGCAGCTCTCCTCAATCGCACACTCCTCGTCCCGGCCCGCCTCCCCTCCCTCACCCCCCTGCTCTGCCAACGCGGCGCTTCCGGCCGCGCATGCCCCTCCTACCCCCTCCCCTTGTTCTGGGACCTGAATCACACGCGCCGCTGCCTGGGTGCGTCCTCCGTGATCAGATCCGACGAGTTTGCCGCCCGGTTCGGCCGCCCGGTGGAGGTCAACCACATGCGGTGCTGGCACGGGCCGGAGGGGCTGTGCCGCCCGACGTATTCCATAGTGAAGAAGAACTGTCTGGTGGGCACGGCGCTGAGCTACGTTGCTGAGAAGCTGCGGAAGAAGTTTGGCGGGCGGAGGGTGGCGAGCGACGTTGTGCATGCAATGCTGCTCAACGGGTCTTCTCTGCAGCCATTCAACGGGCCCGGGCTGTCGCTGCAGTCGCAGAGTGGTGTGTATGCGGCTGATGTGCCTTCAGAAGACACGGAGGTGTTACCCTCGCCTTCCCTGTCGCCCGAGCCCACAACTGTGGGAGACCACCTGCTGCAGCTCACAGGGAGAACGCTCAAACACTCCTCCTCGTCTTCTTCTTCCCCCTCCTCTCCCTCCTCCTTCTCCTCCAGCTCCACCTCCACCTCCTCCTCTTCCACCCCTGCCTCCTCCTCTTCCCTCCCCATCCACCCCACGCCCATCGACCCCATCCGCATGATAATGCTGCACCAGCCAGGCGCTGTCTCCATCCCGCCCTCCGCCACGGCCTCTGCGCTCTGCCTCCCGCGCTTTGTCCACGTCACCGACGTGCTCCGCGCGTACGGCCCCCTGGGGGAATCAGTGCGAGTGCTGGCTGTGGGGGATCTGGTGGGCACGGCTGTGCTGGGCCTGCCTCACCGGTATGCGCTGCTGCAGCAGACGGCGCGGAGGTGGGAGGAGAGCGGGGGGAAGCGGCAGGGCAGGGCGGGGAAAACGGAGGGCAGGGGAGTGGCTGGGGGTGAGGAGCAAGTAGAAGAGAAGGGGTTTAAAGTTCAAGGCTCATTTGCGGATCGAAGCAGAGATGGATCATCTGACCCATCATCTGACTCAGGGTATTCCCAAGGGAGGAATCTTTGGCTGGATAAGGATTTCGTCCGCCCGCCCGGAGGCCGGTGGCTGGGGAGTTCGGGCAGCGGCGGGCTCCGGGATTGGTTGAGTATTTTTCAGTTCCTGCCCGGCTGCCGGAACACAGCGGCCATCATCCCGCCCCCCCTGGTCTTCCAGCGAGCGCAAGCCATCATCCGATCCCTGTTTGGGACGGAAACGGTGAACGTTGGTGCTGCAACTGGTATGGCCGATTCCGCGGAATCGGGGACAGGTCATTCTGGTAGTGACGGCTCAGCAGTGGAGGTTGGAGCAGGGGAGGGTGAAGCAGCGGAAACCGGAGCATCAATTGATGCTGACCTGCCTGCCCCAGCGGGTCTGCCGGCGTTTCTGGCGGTGCACTGGCGGCGGGGCGACTTCCTGCAGTTCTGCGCGCGGTCCGGGCCGCCCGGCTTCTGCTTCTACTCGCCCGTGCAGGCCGCACAGTGCGCTGCTGACGTGGCGCGCCGCAACGGGCTCGCGAATGTTTACGTGGCGACCGATGCTGATGACAAAGAGGTGAGTGCGGGGTGAGCTCGAGTAGCTCGCAGTTATTTTGTCCTGAGGTAGTATGAGTCATCTCAAATACAGCTGTGAGTGTGGAGCTGCAAGTCTGGAGGTTCACTAATATTCCTTCCTGTTCAGCGGCACTGTTCACTAATATTCCTTCCTTGCACTGCATGTTCCTCTTATCTCTCCCACTACTTTTTACTGTTCCCACCCACCCTCCTCCGTTCCTCCTCGGCTTTTGACTGGTTACAGTTCCAAGAGTTTAAAGAGACATTGGGTCCAGAATTCACTGTGGAGAGGCTTCCCTCTTCCCCATCCCCTCTATTGCCGGATCCGCATCAAGACCCTCTTTTGGGGCTTAGGCAAGGGGCTTTCCTCAACGATGCGGCTAGCCTGCTGTACACCATTTTAGACAAGGTTATCTGCGTCTATTCTACTGTGTTTTTAGCCACACCGTCGTCTACACTCTCAAATGATGTTGCTCGTATTAGGGAGGGGCTTGGCGTTCCTGCTGCAGTGGCTGCTGCTGCAGCTGTTGGAGCGGAGGAGGAAGCAGTGGGGGAGAGTGCGGAGGTGAGAACAGGAGTTGATTTTGGCGAGAGCACTGGAGTGGAGGAGGGGAGGGACGGTGCCCTGTGTGAGGGGCAAAAAGAGTGGCATCCTATGGATGGCTTGCCCAAGAAGCTCCAAGAATTGAAGGCCTTGAGGATTCTGTCAAACGATAAGGGGGAGTGGTAAATTTTCCAAGGAGCTGTACTTTTTGTGTCCCTTCCACTGTCTTCAATAGTGGGGTATAATACTGGCTGTATGTCACTCAGACGATAATCAGGTGTACATATTGCTAACGACGAAGTTCTGCAACGCTGTAGCGCGTCACCTGCGTACGTCAATTACCCACGCAACCAGCCGTCAATCATCCCTTCCGGCCGACATCTGCCGAATAGCAGCTGGCACAACATCGCGAGACGTCGCACACGTCGTCGCTATTCCCTAGGTTGCCTGGATGCCCGTCGCACAGAGGAATCAAGAATCAGGAGTGCAGGGATTTTAGAGATGAGCCTTGATTTCTCCTGCTTCCACAACTGGCATGTCCAAATCCTCCCTCTGCTCCCTCTGGCATTTCCAAGTCCTCTTTGCTGAATGCTCTTCCTTTGTCATTCAGAAATTCCCAGTCTCTGCTACCAGCTAAAGAAACTAGCAAGCCGACTGCTTATCGTTTATTACTTATCGGAGACACGCGAGTTCCACTTTTTGTGCTCCACAGCAAAATGTCGCTTTTCAAGCCAGATTACAGCCCATGACCTCGTTCTGGTTCGGCGTGCTTGGCGGTAGTAAGGCATGAAAAGCAATCCATGGATTCTCGAGTCGACGCAAAGTCCTTTCGGGGATGTCGGTACCTGGCTGATAAGACACTCATTGTGCTGGGTTCATGCCGACTCAGCTGACAAGAAGCTGTTGTTGATGAATTCCTGAGTCGGCTCAAAAGCACCTCGTGCTTGCCGATACCTACCAGAAACGATGCAGATTGTGCGGCGTTCCTTCACTCGGCTGACAAGAAGCTGTTTCGGAAATTCCTCACTTGACTCCAGAATCCATCATCCGTGCTTATCGATACTAACCACTCCATAATCCGTTCTATCGACTCCATAATCACCTCGTGCTTATCGATACTCGGCTGGCGGGAACGAGTTCATGGATTCTAGAAAGCACGTACGGAGCGACCTTGATAGGGATTGTGCCGGGGCTCCTGCGGACTCATCAACAGCCGCAACCAATGGCGTCGCACGACCGGACCTACATTCCACGGACGGACCGGACCTATGCGAAAGAACAACATCGTCGACGCAACATTATGCGTCGCCGCTGAAACACCAGCAGCAGCACCAGCAGGAGCAGGAAGAGGAGGAGGAGAAAATTTCCTCCCTTAAAGACTCTGATAGCTTACTTTTTAAGCATGGGATCCCGTTTACTGATTCCACCCATTCTCCCCACAATCTCAAGCTTTCAAGCTGGCCTTTCTCGAGTCAATCCCCGACTTCAAGAGTCTTCCGGTCTCCCACTGTCCTCCTCCTCCTCTTCCTCGCATTCCTCCTCGTCGCCATCTACACTCTCTTCCTGCAACCCGACTCGCTTCTCTCCTCGGATACTGTAGATCTATCCATCGGATCCACCAATGAGCTGCTGCCAGGTCAGACCCAGAATGCCCCCCCCTGGGTGCAGGCATCAGGCTCGCCTTCCTCTGACAGTCAAAAGCACAATCCAGCGGACCCCGAACCTCATGCCGATCCTGATTCCGACCCTGAGACCGATCCGAACCATCACGGTCCGGATGCAGTAGTCTCAGATACGCACGCAGCGGGGGGGAAAGGCTCACTGGGATCTGAGGATGATAGGGGGTCGCTGAGTGGTGGCGAGGGTGGGATGTGGCATGGCAAGCTGGTGTGGACGCCACAGCCCGACAGGTTCCTGCTCGCCGTGTGCCTGCGAGGTCAGGTGAGACGTGGGTGGGATGGCGGTCGGGATAGAATAGAAGCAGGTGGAATGGTTGGGTATCAGCAGGTGGGATGGCGGTCGCATGAGACACAGGTGGGGTTGTTGTCAGGTGGAGGTCACTGAAAACAGCTACGCTCTCCTGAAAACCCATGCATTCTCATGGCATGCCACACACACCTGCCTGCCTTCTCTCCCTGCTCTTGCCCTCACTAAATTCCCCCCACCCGCCCACTTCTCTTCTGAATCACTCATGTCAACAACCACAATGCCTGCCTCATCCTTTCCTCTCCGCTCAGCCTCCACTGCTCTCTGTCCCTCCTTTCGACCCGCATCCTGCGCTACCCCAACCCACCTCCTCCCATCCACTCCCGCTTTCCGGCCTTTCGACCCCACTCCTCTCCTCTCCTCACTCATGCTTCATCAGGTGAACAACCGCATTGGCTGTCTCTACCGCCACCTCATCCTGGCAGCACTCCTCAACCGCACGCTCCTCGTCCCCCCCGTGCTGCTCTCCCCCTCCCTCGCCTACTGCAAGCACGGCCTCTCCGGCTCCCCCTGCCCCTCCGTCCCGCTCCCCCTCATCTGGGATCTCGGCCACACGCGCACGTGTCTGGGCGGCGACACTGTCCTGCGCACAGACGAGTTTGCCGCCCGGTTCGGCCGCCCGCTGGAGGTGCATCACATGCGGTGCTGGCACGGGCCGGAGGCGACGTGTCCAATGAGCAATCCTGGGCTGCTGAAGAATTGCCTGGTGAATGACACGACGCAGGGGGGTGGTGGGAGAAGGAGGCTGGGGAGAGTGTCTGGGATGAGAAAGCTGTCCCGAGCGGGAGTGGGAATGGGAGCGGCGGCTGCTGATGCTGTGAGAGGGTGGTTCGGAGAGAGTACGATGGCGTGGGTGAGAGGGAGCAGGAGAAGAAAGCTGCAGCAGCAGCCGACCCTGCAAGGCACTTCCTCCCCCAACCGCTCCCCACCGCTCTACACAGTCCAGTCCTTCGCCGAGTCGCCCCTCCAAACATCCGCGGCCCACCTGCACCTGCTGCCCCACCAGCTCTCCCCAGACGTGCACGTCAGCGCCAACGCCACGGCGTCAGCAGTCTGCTTCCCCCGCTTCGTCCACGTACGGGATGTCCTCCGCGCCTATGCGCCTCTCTCCTCCTCTGTCCCTGTGCTCGCCGTGGGGGACCTCGTTTTCACCGCCTTTCTCGGCCTCTCCGAGAGGTGCGTTTCTTTGGGCGCCTTACAAAGCGTCAGCAGTGTTCTTCCCCCGTTTTGTCCACGTGCGCTACATCCTCCGCTCCTATGCTCTCGCTGTCGGGGACCTTGTGTTCACCGCCTTTCTCGGCCTCTCACACAGGTACATCTTGAGGCGACCCAGAATGCTCTCAGAAGACGACGCCCCTCTCTCCTCCGCCGTTTTCATGATCACATAGAAGGCCCTTGCATTCACGCACTTGATTTTGACGCGCCTCTGAACTTGCCCTTGTGCTCATAGCGAAAGCCCTTGTATTACCCCTCTTACCGCACTCTCTGCCAGGTACGGGCCCTTCAAGGAGCGTCTGTTTCGGTACAAACTTTTGAGGCGCCTCAAAGGATTCCCCTTGTGCTCATAGTGAAAGCCCTTGTATTACCCTCTGCCCGCACTCTCTGCCAGGTACGAGCCCTTCAAGGAGCGTCTGTTTCGGTACAAACGGTGGCGCGAGCGCGAGGAAGCTTCACAGGAAAGGGAGGGCACCTCGACAAGCAATTTTGATGGCATGCTGGCGAGCAGCAGCAGCCAGGTGATTCTGGAGTCGGACTTCCTTGGGCCAGCAGGGGGGCGGTGGCTTGGGAGTGCAGGGAGGGGCGGTCTGAGGGAGTGGAGGAGCATGTTCCACTTCCTGCCGGGCTGCCCGGTTTCCGTGCCTATTCTGCCCCCCAAGGAGGTTATTGAGGATGGTAGGCGGCTCACACAAGCCCTGTTTGATGGTGGGAAGAGTGGTGCCGGAGGATCAGAGGGCGGTGGAGAGGGGTATGTGGCGGTGCACTGGCGACGCAGCGACTTCAAGGACTACTGTGTGTGGTCGGGGCCGTCTGGGTTCTGCTTCTACTCCGCGGGACAGGCTGGCAAGTGCGCTGCTGACGTGGCACGACGCAACGGGCTGAGGAGTATTTATGTTGCTTCTGACGCCAACGTGGAGCAGGTCAGTTGGTGTACTTGCTTTCAGCAATCAAATCATGTGTTTTGCTTGCGTAGCTATCAAGTTTCTGCTGTGCTTCCGCTCAACCTTTCTCACCTGTCTCCCATCTGCAATCCCCCGAACCTCCTTTCTCGCGGCACTTGACAGTTTGAAGAGTTTCAGAAGGCAGCAGGCTCTGCCTTCAAAGTCATTCGCTACCCCGACAACCCATCAGCCTTCCTCACAAACCTCACCTCGGAACACCTCATTTCCAACCTCCCTGCTTCTATAGACCGAGAAGAAGCTTCCCTGCTCCTGCACATGCTCCTTGACAAGCTCATCTGTGTACGCTCTACAGTGTTCCTCGCTACCATGTCTTCAACTCTATCCAACGACGTCGCTAGAATGCGTGAGGGGTTTGGCGTGCCAGCAGCTTTAGCAGCTGCTGCTGATCCTGGTGCAGGCATTGCTGGGAAAATGGCTGCAACCAATGATGCACCGGGTGACGTTGGTTTGGAATTTGTGGTGAGCTTGGGTATAGAGGAACGGAGAGATGGTGGGCTGTGTGAAGGGGAGAAAGTATGGCAACCCCTTCAAGGGTTGTTTGGGTGGATGAAGGACATGAAAGCCAAGAGAATGGTCGAGCATGCAGCAGGAGAGTGGCGGAGATGACTTGCTGCTGTGCGGATTTTTCAGAAATGGTGTTCCTCTAGCAGTTGTATGAAGTAAATGGGAGAAATTTAACAAGTCTTCACCACTTCTTGTCATACTGGTACCAAGTACTGGTTTGTGTTCAAGCGGTAGTCTCAGTTAATAATCAATGCAATAGATACAGGAGGCCACGAACACTACAGGCTTTGATACTGAATGTCAAGCGTCACGAAGTACCGTAATATGTACGACCAAGTGTGGTAGATCAATCCTGCATCCGCGTTACTAGCTGCCTTTCCCTTTAGACTGACCACCCGCAGCTGCAGCTGCTTTCTTCGCAGCCTTCTCTTGCAGAGCCTTGGCGTCCCTGGAAGAAAAAACGAAACAGGAAATATGAAATACGGTTAAAAGAATACCAACAATACAGCCATAAGAGGGGTCAAGTCATGCTCCCACGCCGAGTTTGAACCTGTGTTGTCCCTTTCTCAAAAACAGCTCAGACGCGTTGAGAAAATGTGTGCATGAGCGATTGACACGCAAAACAGGATAATTACCTCTCACGGCGTTGCTCCGGGGTCAGACCGTCGGTCTTCTTGTTCGCGCCGTTCTTTGCTGCTCGGGCCTGAGCCCTGGCGCGATCAGTGTCTCGCTGATTGCCGCGTATATTGTTAAAACACAAGAAGGAAAACCAGTTAAGGAGAAACTTGTTTCCTACTCACACGGAACAAGGAGCAGACGGAAAATCAGAAGAATGCAAAAACGAAAATGGCCATGTCGCTACATAGGAACTTCAAAACTGCAGAATACGAAGAGATTCATAGTTGCCTAGATTATGAAGAGAGAGAAGCGCTGTGCAGGATATGACTCATTTATACTGGATGGTTGCGCCTCTGGCTGACGAATCAAGGAGGTGCTGCAAGGATGGGGATGAGCTAAGGACGAGCAAGAGAGCCAAAACTATTTGTCTTCCACCTGAACGAGTTTTCCAACGATTCTCAGCTGACTAGGATACAACGCGAGGATAATCGCGTGAAGAACGGGAACAGCAAACTCTCCAACTGAAATGCAGGCTGGTTTTAGTTGCAAATCCCCTGTTTTTCTTCTGTGAAATGAAAGATGGAAGGCAGAAGAGGCGGAACAGAAGCAGCGGAGGGAAGGCATGGGAGGGAGGAGATGGGATGGTGGAAGGAACGAGGTTACGCGAACGATCGTCAGAGAAACGGCTTCCTCGCGCGAATCAGCTACAACCAGAACCATTCGCTGACGACGGCGCTTATGGTTGGCGAAGCCCGTACCATTTTCGCAACTGCGGAAACAACCATCCAGCGTGTCGCGATGTGCCAGAGCTGCGCCTAGAATGTTCCACGGCAAATTGTGGGCCTCAAATGTCGCGGTAGCTGGGACGGAATCTCGAGACTTCCAATCCAACAGCGCTGAACAGTGCTGTCGCGGGTCTGCAGGCGAATTCAGGCAGAAGCGATCAACGAAAGTCTGCGACGCCCTGCGACTACCAAAACTGGGCTGGGAGGTGAAAACGACAGTCGAACCACAGCAGATCCGCTGTCCAGCGAATTACAGCGTACACTCCCCACGCGATGAATTTCAAGCAGAATTAGGATTAACCCGTCATTTTGTTTTGTAACTCGATTTGAACACCAAACATTGTATTCCCTTTTACTGCATTGACACCAGCGGAATCATACAAGCCAGCAGTGCAAGCACAAGCAGATTGCCTGGGAAGAACAGCAGGCGAGGCACATACCACCAGCCCTATCTTCTTACAAGCCTGAAAATCTGATCCACTAAACCAGCTCATGTCACAAAAACGTTTCCTTCAAAACGCTTCCGCTTAGTTCATGCGCCGGATGAGCGCGTTGATCTTGTCCTCGCGGTTACCAGCATCGCCACCCTCCACGAAGTGCAGGCGCTTCTTCTTCATGCCACCGTTGGGCGCCGACAGCTTGAACGGCCACAGGAAGTTGTTGCACGCCTTGAAGTGCGGGCCCGTCGTGAAGATCTGGTAAATCAAATCCTCCACACAGAGAATCTTCTTCTGCCCCAGCACCTGGAAACAATGGTTGAGACAACGTTTAAAACGGAGGTGTAACAATGGTTGAGACAACGAGCAAGGTTTACTCTCTAATCCAGAAAGCCAAAGAAGAAAGCTGGAAAGACTTATGGGGAGTACCAAGTGGATGGTAACTGTTTGGATGGGGGTTGGTACGGAGGGTGAGGGGTGAGTGGCTTGGGGCAGCAAGAGAGAGGGCAAAAGAATTAGGACTTACTTTTTGCACGACGGAGTTCTCAGTGAGGGCGATGCGCTGGTGCCTGACCTTGCCGAACCCGCGCTTGTAGATCAGCTCGCGCACCGACTTCAGGTTCGGGTAGCTGTGGGGCGCAGCGTGCAGGGAGCAGGGAGCACACAGGAGATTTTTCAGGTGGGCAGCAACATCGAAGGACACAGCACAGTGCGGCCAGGGATGAGTGGAAAAGCATGAGACGCAGGTGACAAGACAAAACCCCATCCTTAGTAACGGTACTCAAAGCAGCGTTCGTAAGAACAACGAGCTCACCCGTAGGTGACGTAGGGCTCCACCAATCGAAGCATCTGCAGAGTGGCCTTGGTGACCCTCAGGAACACTCCGTTGAAGATCTGCCAGCAAAGGCGGAAATTTGAGATGGGAGGTGAAGCGGGGGTCGAGTTGAGTGGGGGAGTGGAGGGTGGAGGGTGGGGAGGAGGGGGAAAAGAAATGCGGGTTCGCCAAGGGGGAAGGGGGGCGGATGCTGTGGCTGGGGGAGGTGGAGTGACGAGGAAGCAGCTTGCGCGTCTGTTTCTTTAGTGTGTAAATATTACAACAGGCGGACCGGGAGAAGGTTCCATTCTCTCACCTAACGAAGGGACTGACGCTGCCAGCCCTTGCGCGTCTATTCCTTCCTTGGGTGCAGAAAAAAAGCAACTGGCAACCGGCGGACGGGGAAGGTTCTGGGCTCACCTGGCGAAGGCGCAGCAGCTGCATGATCTTGCGCGTCTTGGGGTGCATGTCGTTCACACTGGCACAATGGGACGCACGCACAACAACGGTAGGGGAGGCGGAGGAAGAGAGGCGGGAGGGGGAGGGGAGGGGGAGGGGGAGGGGGAGGGGGAGGGGGAGGGGAGGGGGAGGGGAAGGGAGGGGAGGGGAGGGGAGGGGGAGGGGAAGGGGAGGGGTAGGGAAAGGGATAAGGTTGGCTTCAGAGTGTGAATGAATGATTGATTCAAGGAGGAATGAAAACCATAAGATGCAGCACGGGATAAGGGGACGTGGGGCGAGAAACTACGTGAATGCGGAAATGGCTCAGCGGGGGGGGAAATGGGGAGGGCGGGAGAACAGGAATTTGTCACAACAATTGTGAGAAAGGGGGGGAGGGGGCGTGGAAGAAAAAGTAAGCAAGGGGGCGCTCACCCACGGATGCGGATGATGAAGAGCAGCTTGGGCTCGGGCTCCACATAGAAGCCGCCGCTCAGCTTAGCCTCGCGCTTCAGCTCCACCAGCTCGCGCTCCTGCGGGTGGATGGTTGGCGGAGGGGAGGAAGAGTTTAACGGGGGGGGGTGGAAAGAGACGGCGGGAGGGGCGGGGGGTCGCGCACAAGCGTGGAGCCGTTGGTCATGCGTACAAACGACGAAGTTGCTGATTGTTTCAAAAAAGGCACGATCGCAAGATGAAGCATCTCCCAAAAAGAGCGACAACATTTTCGCTTCGCAACACAGGCTCCGCTTCGCGACACCTGGCGTCAGAAGAACGCGTCCCGCCGGGCACTTCTCGAATTCTCAAACGCAGAAACTGCACTAAATTGCACCGAACGCGCACTCGCTCCCTACCTACACCGAAATCGCCCCAACTCCCAATTTGCTTCCTGATTCGCCATCAGACTAATCCACATGAACTGTCGTCTCCATAACCATGCGTCCCACGACCGCCTCGCCGCACGGCCGCATGGAGACTACGTCCTGCAACCTCGCTCGCTCGCACCGTAATTTGCCGTCTCGATCCCACCATGGTCATCCCCTCTCCGCGCGTTCCCAGCGCCTTGCCGCACCTCCCCAGCCGCTGCCCTCCACCCCCCTGCTGCTCCCTAACGACTCTGAATCTCTTGAAAGCCCATCGGCAGGGGCCCGCTGCCAGCTCCATTCCAAAGGGCTCTCACTGCTGCAGTGAATATCACCACTAAGTTCGAGCAGAGACCTAACTGCCGCGACCTAGGTCGGACCCGCTACGTGAATATCGCCTCTGCCGCAAACGATCGGAAACTGCGCCGTGAAAGTCGCCGTGCCGCCGTCGCACCTATAGATCGCTTCTGAATCGAGCGCGTCCCTGAACCTTTTTAAACCGCGTCTCGATGACGAGATGAGTCCCAGCGAGACCTGCCGCTAGTTTGAAACTTCGACCTTCTTCCAAACCCGTTTCGAAAACTGGCACACGTGGCACAGAGCTACTCGCCGCCTCCCACCTTGCGCGCGTACGACTTGTCATAGGCGGCGGCGCGTTGGTGAATGATTTTGCGGATGAGCTTGTTCTTGGCCTTGCTCTCCTGCGCCTTCTTCTCGATCGCCGCGCCCCACTTCTCCTCGCGCTCGCGCTTCTTCGCGATCGACTCGGGCACCGCCTCCGAACTCATCTTGGCTCACCTGCGGGGAAGGAAACGGGTGGGGGAAGGAGAAAGGGGGGAGAAAAGGGAATGGGGGGAGCGGAGACGGGGGAACGGGGGGAAGAGAGGCATTCTGAAAGGCAGACTCGGCGGCCCATCTTGCGCTTGCGCTTCTTTGCGATCGACTCGGGCACCGCCTCGAGACTCTGTTCACACCACTCTGGCGAGCGGGAGAGGGGAGTGGGGGCGGATGAGCGGGAAGAAGCGGGAGGAGGGGAGGGACCGGAATGGGGGGATGGAATGGGGAGGGGAGAGGAGAGGCGGAGCGGAAGCGGGGGAATAGAAGGGTGGAATCGGAAGCCGTGGGACAGAGGCCGAGAGCTGGCCGAGGGGGG